TCTCTCTCTCTCTCTCTCTCTCTCTCTCTCTCTCCCTCTCCCTCTCCCTCTCTTTCTCTGTTCCTCCCTTCCTCTTTCTTTCTCAAGTATACGTATACCATAAACACAAGGTTTAATAGGAGGTAACTGCCTGTAAAAACCAATTTAGCAACTTAAAAGCAGACGCGGCACGCGTAAGCGTTCTTTAGGGATTAAACGAGCAGTTAATTAAAATACACGTCGATTTCACGGACCATCGGGCGTAGCTCATGGTTTGTAGAGCCTACATTGCCAGCGGCATCAGACGCTACTGAATCCCCGACACAATGCCCGTTTATATGCGCACACGAAAGTCAACGTTGTGTGAGTAAGCCGTAGGTACTCCGCTACATGGCATGTCGAATTCTATAGCGTGGTCCGTGAAAAGGAATACCGGTTCATAATAAATCAATTGCTGCTTGGGTATTCTCAACACTAGTTTAGGTTTCAGTAAAAAAAAAAGATGTCGTTTAAATGCGTGTAAAGAAAAGACATGCTTATATGAATTAGAGAAGCAAATGTTATAAGGAACGCGTATCTAGCTAACTACGTCGTCTTATGATATGACACACGCTTGACGACATCGCACGATTCTTCCTCGATGACTTTTTAGACTCGTTTCTCATGCATCTCCTTTTTTCAAGAATTTCTAATATTTTTTCATCACATCGATCACATTTAAGCGCATTGAATTTGACGATTCCGAACTAACCGGAAGAAAATCCATACATTTCTGTTCGAACAAAATAATGTACAAGTAAATAGTCATTAATCGAATATTCTAAGATGCAATGTTGTCATCAGCGTTTCAAGTTCAGATAATATGTTTTCGCCCAAGAAATAATTAATTGTGTAAAAACACGTCTTGCTCGAAACGATATAATTCAGCAAAAAAATATGATGCTTTTGAATAAACGCGTACGTGTAATTTTTTCCTACGGAATATTAAATTTTTATGTACTGATGTGACTGGTTTGGCGAGGCGATCTCACGGAGCAGAAAAAGTTTGTAAAATAATTGGAAATGAACGTCACTGACGCAGACGGTAAATTCTTTCTGTCCCAAGTCTATTGAAAGGAATTACAATTCTTGCTTGCAGAATATCTCGTTTATGATTTCACCCAATATACAGTTTAATTCGTACAATTTAAAATTTTTTTACCACATGAGAACGTGACGAATTCGAAACTTCTCATTCGTCAAAATGGTCTCGTTTTCTTTCTATCCTGTATTCTGTACTTAAATTTTCTTACAAGCTTCCCAAGTAGTAGCTAACTCGAATCAAGGCGCATTGTTGGTTAGCTTCTTTCGATGACCTATGGGCTAAGTGTCAAGCGCTGCATGTCCAGATTCGGCAAACCATTGAAGATTTCTTTTTACATTAAGTACGAGGAGTGTTTTCGTGCCGAGGCAATCTACCACGAAACAGCAGATCACCTTCATGGCGTTATCGAGAAATTTACCCCTGCAGTTGCGTCTGCTGCTTCCAGGGCGAACGACTCCATCCCTTCTGTCTCGCACGCAGAATTTGATACTCAATTACCGCGTATTAATCTTTCGACATTTTCTGGTAAGCTTTCTGACTGGAAAAACTTTCGCAGACTGTTCGAGTCGCTTGTTGCGTCCGACAAAACGCTGTCGCCGACGTAAAAATTACATTACCTACAAATGAGTGTAACCGGACCGTCGTCTTATGTCAATTGTTGAAGAATCCGCACAGCCATATATAGTGCACACGCTACGTAATAGTAAGAAGCTGATAATGCAGCATAGAAGAATGCCTGTGAGGACGCCATAGAATTCACTGAAAATTAATGTCGTCCGGATGAATTAGAAAATTTGGAGAAACATTTTTTCAATATCCGCGGTACAGACGTAATAAAATTGCATATATCTTGTTGAAGTCTACGTCGCGTTATAAATTAAGGGTATACAGGTTTCCGATAAAAATTACAAAGCCACTTTGAAAATTCTAGTCAACGAATACAACAATAAGTCCGCACTTATTCAAGCTCACAACCACGCTTTCGCAAACTTGCCTGTTATGAAAATCAGGAAAGTCAGCGAATTTAAAAAACTCCGCGATACAACGTCGCTTAACGCGTTGAAAACTCTTGGTCGGCCTATCCCGACGATTGGGACGATTTACTCGTTTATATGATAGTTCAAAAAGCAGAGTATAACTTTTTAAGGATTTCGCGACCGCGGGAATCGTTTTATATTTATATTTTCTTATGTATTTTTTTTCATAAACTGAAAATTATCAGTATAATACGCCAGAAGGAGAAAAAGATACACACACACACACACACACACACACACACACACACACACACACATATATATATATATATATATATATATATATACAGAGTGTCCCACACTCTCCTCCGGGCATTTTGTGGGGACGTAGGATAGGTTGATGTGAACATAAAAGTCCTATACCGTTTTGCGATATTCGCAATAATTATCGAGATATTAATTGTAGAAAATTTGTGAATCATCATGCAGAATATGATAAATGAGTTATAATAGCGACGACTGCCGTCGTGTACTTATACTTTAGATCAAATTGAACAAAAAAGTCCTCTACCATTTTCTAAATAATCACATAGATTTTTAATTATTAATTAAAGCAGATTATTGCACGATTTTGCGTGATAATGCACTCATCTCCTTTAATTAAGAGTTAAAAATCTATGTGATTATTTGCAAAATGGTAGAGGACTTTCCTGTATATGGAAAAAAAATTGTTATTCATGTAGTTATAGTATCACTGTCAGTTATTCTTCAATAATTTATTAAAAATTAACTCAAAGTTGGATCAAATACGAGTAATATTGCATCGCAAAACGTTAATTAGATTATATTGTTCACTATAACATTAAAGCGGCCACTGCGACACTCAATATATGAGCATCGCGAGCGCCGCTCTATTGCATCGGCTGTGAGCTCTCTCTCCGCGCAGGAACTTCGTGATGTGTCCATTTTTGGTAAAAGTTTGCTCAGAGGTCACAATTTTCGCATGAATATGACGCGCTAAAATCAGAGTTACCTGTTGCTAACTTAAGTGTCTTGTGTTCACTGAACCCTCTCATCGAGGAAGATGCACTTATTCGACTTGGCGGGTGACTCGTCAATTCCGCTTTAAATTATGACGAGCGTCATTCGATAATCCTGCCGGCATCATATATCGGATCTCTTAATTACTTGTGTGCATACGCTTACTTTGCATGGAGGAGTCCAATTAATGCTACGTGTGCTCCGCTAACATTATTGGATTATATTATTCGCTCGTAATCTCTCGTAAAATCTTAGGTACATCGCTGCATAACCTGCGTTCGGCAATCCGCGAATACGGTGCATCAATTTATGAGCAACCTACCCAACGCCTGCGTCATCAATTTAATTGCTTATGTCGGACGAAGCCGTAAAGCCAGTAAGTATTATGTTGCCGTTTTTGTGTGTCTCGTCATAAAAGCCATATATCTAGAATGTGTTGGCGATTACCCGACGGAGGAATATTTAGCGGCGTTCCGTCATTTCGTTAGTCGCCGAGGTCTTCCGCCTGACATGTATAGCGATAATGGCACCAATTTTCAAGGAGCCAATGAATTGCAGAGATCATTTCAACTTCTATTGCAAAACCTCAACCTGCAGAACATGTTTGCGAACAATGGAGTCAAATGACATTTTGTGTCATCAGCAGCCCCGTATTTCGACGGCCTTTGGGAAACTGGTGTGAAAAGTTTTAAATTTCATTTAAAGCGAGTTATAGGATCGCACACCCTGTCGAAGGTCATGTCGAATTCGTGACCTTATTATATCGAAGCGTGCCACAATTCGCGGTCGATTTCCGCACTCAGCGAAATGCACAAAACCGTCATAAGTGAGATGCCCATCGTCTAGGTATGTCGAGTGATGAATACAAGAAAAAAAAATGAAGTTTCAGTTCGTTATATGTAAATCCGTGATTCTTTTCCTGCCACGAGACGGTAGCGAGCTGCACCTGCATTGCAATCATTCGTCAGACGGGAAGAGAAGCCCACAAACCGAAACGGTTTTGAATAACGATCACCTCCACGATCAAATTTCAAATACTTCACCAGAGGAGGAACATAAGAAAAATTGGCAAATTTTCATATTGAGATTCCTACAGTACACACATTATAACGAAACAATACAACAGATAACGCGGCACGACGTGATATCAATTGAGCATTAGCTAGATATTCAGTCCTAACACAAATACGCACTTACACGCACTTTTCTCGCTACACACAACCGACAATTTATAATCTAATTAACTGCACGAAACCGGCAATTATTGCTAAAGCCTTCTCTCGAAAACTTTTCTTGATTCCGATGGCCATGCTACGCGACTAAATATATACGAGAATTCAGCTTTTAATAAAACACACAACACGCAGCTATACACTTGTTGTCTCGTCAGTAAATGACATTGAGAGTTCCCTTTTCTCCTTGACGTCCTTTTCGATCGTTCTAGATAATAAGCTTGATTTTGTAGCTGTTCTGACGATATCCAAAAAGCACATGCGTCTGACTCGTCGGATCTTCTCGCAATGACGAACTTGCCAAGATCTTGCAAGATCTAAAGTCTTAGCGGACAATTGATACGACTCCTGATTAACTTCGCAGAGCCGTCGTATCGATTTTAGTAGGCAAATTCTATACAAAATCTAATGCAAAATATGACCGAGCACGTAGATTAGAATTTGGTTTGATAACCTAAATGTGTAGTTCAAGCAACTAAATCTGATTCTGACTAAAACTGATTCTGAGAGCTATACATTTACTTTATCTAAATTGTTTCCTAATTATTATTTCATGTTTGGCCCGCATTATTTGACTAAATAATTTAGCAAAAACTACTAAATTTTGATACTTATTACGAAATCCTTCTTTCCGTGTATATTTTCAATGAACTCGCGTCTACAGATTTCACAGCGACGCGCGTATTAATTCGCTCATTTTTTTTAATTAGTATCTCAAAATTTTACGTGGTTGTTTGAAAAAAAATTGAAGAATTTTTGTTTAGTTTTACTTAATCTACTTGCATTATCAACGTGCGTTGTTGTATATTGCATTAGACACCCTGTATTTCCCTAAATTTCGCTTATATAAAATGTTCACGAAAAGTACGTATTAAAGAATCCAATTTTGTCAATCCCACATATTTGCTTATATATTTAATTCATATTTTCTTTAGTTCTAATCCAGAACTCGGTGCACGTTGCACATTTTGGTTGATTTTCAATTTGTTCTGACTAGCAGTATTCCTCCTGTCTCATTTCTCCGCGTGCAGCCTACGAGCTGTTTGAAACTTAAGAAAGTATGAGCATTTGTTTCTGATAGTAGAAAACTATTGGAAATATGTTTACAGATTATACGTTCCTAAGCCTGTAGTAGCTCGTAGATTGCGCGCGAAGAGATGAAATAAGAGGAATAGCGTTAGGCAAAACAAGTCTTCTTTTGGAAATGATTCTTACTCTTTTGTAGCTCGCGATCTTCCAGCGGCTTGTTACCAGCAGGTATCGACAGTGAGTCCTAAGGCGGCATGCCTTTCAATGCTTTTTGGTAATTATGTATTTTAACGGAGCAACCTCCAATGACTTTGATCTTGACATATGTTATACAGGTCACCCTCCTGAGTAAAAAGTTTTAGACTCGTTGTTGGGTACTCGTTGTTTCTTAAAAAATTATTAACAAAATAAGTTGCATAAAATTACTTTAATTTTTGGGCACCGTATATACAAAAACAACGAATTTCAATGCTAGGAAGATGCTTGCTACACACACACACACACACACACATACACACTGCTCGCCAGTAAGCGAAAAATATCGAACAACGAGCGGGGGCTGCGCCCCCGCACCCCCCCTAAAAACTACCTAATCCAACCTATCGTCCCATTACCTGTCAGTCATTGTTTATTAAAGTGTTCAACTTTTTTTCTTAATAAGTTCTTAATAAACAATGACTAACGGCTAATGTGACAATAGGTTGGGCTAGGTTAGTTTTTAGGAAGGGTACGGGGGGCGCAGCCCCACGCTCGTCGTTCAATATTTTTCTCGTGTTACAAATGTTAAAAATGTTAAAAATATTCTTAATTTAAATATTTTTACGGTAATTGTGAAGGAAAGGCCCACTCTCATCAATTTTGTTAAAATTTAGTAAGATATTGTATTTTGATGCGTAAAAACCGAATCTGGGAGCTTTTGTGAGAAATTCACTCTTTAGCTTAAGCACAAGAGACCGCGACCCTCCCCCCGCTGCGGTGCGGGGGGTCTGGGGAACGAGCCCCCCAGTCACACAGCTAGAAATAGACGGTATGACAGATTTTCTAACCTAACGCGCCTTTAACTTTATCTATTAATATTTCGCTTCGTAGTAGAGAGCGATGATTTTGTCAGAGGAAAAAGTTGTTTCTCGTGCAAAAACGCGTCAATTAAGCCTATTTTTTATCGAAATCGGAGGTGAGGTCACTAAACTGAATAATTACCAACTTCTTTTGTTAATAATTTTTTAAAAAACAACAAGCGCCGTCTAAAATTTTTTTAGGGTTACTCAGGAGGGTGACCTCTATAACGTATGTAAAGATCAAGATTATTGGAAGTTACTCCGTTAAAATGCATAATTATCTGCCTTTTTTCCTAGAGTATTTTCTAGATTTCCGCAACCCTGACACAGAGCCCCGTACGCGAAGCCATCCCCGCTCGCTTCCCATCTCACAGCTGGATCCTATTTCGTTTGCCTCCAGCAGTGGTTGTTCGTCCTATCTCACTTTCTCATCTTTGTTTGTGCGCTATCTCTCCCCCCGGGTCGCAGTGAGATTTTTTCTATAACTTAATTGTTAGCCGCCGGTTGATCCGTACATAAAGGGTGCACAGCATCAACAACGTTCGCTTATTCAGCCGTCTTCTCCCTTCTCGTTTGAAACGAGGAGGCACGAGCTTTTGACATCGCAACCCCTCGGTCTAACGTTCACACACACATACATACACACACACGCACAATCCGAGCGAAGGATAGTAAAAATTTACTACATCACAAAGTGCTTTGTCACAAGTAATTAATTGGTAATTAGTTGGACAACCATAATATCAAAATGTTGATATGATTTGCTTCCAAGATATGCAGTTACCAAATTGTTCTCTCGTGATATAAATTTAGAGAACGACCAAAAACTATTTCTCTCCCGACTAAAGCTACAAGAGTAAAGTGTTTTAGAGAGCAATTAATTATTCGAATAATCATTGCATCAAAATGAATCATTTCCTCTCAACTTATCCAGGTCGCGAAATTTTTTACTCGCGGAATATGTATAAAATATTTAATTATATATATTTATGTTACGAAAAATAGTTTTAAGTACAGTCGTGATTAGAAAAATATTGATATCCTCCAACAAAGAAAGCGATAAAATTTTAATGGGAAGAAGAAAAAAATGTAACTTTCTTCGTGCATAAGAATCACTTCGAAACAAGCTGTTTCAAAATTGTTCGGCGGGGTTTGCGACAGCAAAATTCGATTGATTAGTTAACTGTCTTAATAGTACACGCATAGCATAGAATACTAAATTTTTTATGAATGAATTGTTTATGACAAAATTGACGGTGAATTGTTTATGACAAAATCACGCACGACTAAAATATTGAACATTTTTGGATTCTGGAAAAGGCAATTTCAAAAGCATGCGGTAATTACTCGAGCTAGGACATATCAAGTGATCAATATCATTGATCTATTCAAATAGTAAGTCACGGTACGGAAATATTATTGTTTAATTTATTGTTCTTCGAGCACAAGTGTTCGCACATGCATTACATGGAAATTCTCGATGATTCTCAAAATTCGCTTGTGATTATGCGAAGAGACGCATTGTGCGTAATTATACCAATTAGAAAGCTGAAAAACGATAACGAAATATTCTGATTGATTAGCTCTTACGACTATGTTTACGCAATTGTAGAATGGCCTTTACGAAGATTATTTTAATTTCCACAGCGAACCTTGAGAGAATACAAAGACAACAGTAATTTCTTATCGTTTTGATGGATAACGACGCGATGAAATATCGAAGTGCAGAAATCTCAAATAAGAAAATTATGTCAACGCAGTGCTGACATCCGCCCTGTTACAATTCGATAACAGCGTAGAGATATATTCCCAATTTGTCGATTCCCAGTGACAGACGTAACAAGTGAAAAATGTTTGGGAAGGTATTTTAGTGCTACTTACACTTCTTTTTGGCAGGAGAAAAACAGTTTGCGGCAATTGCGATCGCGCAACCAGAATAAAGTCGCACCAATCAATAGGGCAGATACCGACGATAATAATATTGTCATTCATACGCGATTAATTCCGACGAAGAAAACGAGGACGACGACGCCAGTGTGGAAAAGAAAATAACGGAC